CAGTTGCACCCATGGTGCCGCACGGATATGGGTTTTTCTACCGCATTCGTGATGACAGGTTGGTTCATGTCATTACAATTTTAGATATTACAATATATTTTAGAATTCTATGTACACGACCTAGTATGAAAATTCATAAAAATAAATTACATTTTAAAATATATTCAAATAGAAAACAGTTATTTTAAATGTTAATATTTCACAATATTACTGTCTTTACTGTATTTTTGATCAAATTAAATGCAGCCTTAGTAAGCATAAGAGACTTCTTTTTTATAAACTTAAAAAAAAAAATTATTCTATCATATTATCATTAATTGTAATATTAATCTAATTTAATTAAATTCTGTATTTAATTTATTCTTTATTCTCATCCAGAATCGTTGCATCCTGCACCGCTTGGAAGTCCAACCCAGAGACAGATGCTGAAACCCTGTTTCACAACCTCTGCACCTCTTTACATGACATCATGCACATCACTTCCCAGTCCCAGCTGTAAAGCAGAGCATTCTGGGAAGTATAACCTAGTCTAACCTCACTGCTATAGTTATGCCGTTGAATTGTCTCAGACGTGACCTTGCCTTTAGACTGATCTACTATGCTGTGAATTTAAAATGGTTCATATGCTCCCTTGTTCGGTCATATCTAGAATGAATACAGTAGAATTCTGAAGAAATGTGGCGTTTATTTGAGAAAGTTGCCAGACATTAAGATAAGGTGATTTTTAGAAATAATCAGATTTAATACAGCAGGTGCTTTAAACTCTCATGTGCCTTCGGTTAGTAATCTCTGAATCATTTCAATCAGGAAATCCTCCTCTGAGGTAAGGCATGATTTTTAACCTACAGTTTTTGCTACATTAGCAGTCTTGCTTCCTGTTAAAGGGATAGTTCACCCAAAAATGAAAATTTTATGTTTATCTGCCTACCCCCAGGGCATCCAAGATGTAGGTGACTTTGTTTCTTCAGTAGAACACAAACTGAGATTTTTAACTCAAACCGTTGCAGTCTGTCCTATAATGTCAGTGGATGGGAATGCAGCTCGTGATGATACATTGATGTGTAAAGACAAAAAACAATCGGTCTGTGCAAGAAACTGAACAGTATTTATATCTGTATGTTTATATCTGTATATCTGTATGTTATATATATATGTTTTTTACCTCTGATTTTCCCCGCAATGTCTGAACTGTCCTGAGCGCATCCTCCTCTCATTACCGCCACCTATCTCTCAAATGGACCATTGACACCCAATTGAGATTGTAGATAGAGTGTCAATGGTCCATTTGAGAGATAGGTGGCGGTAATGCACTTATAAGTCTGCGATCCGCCGTAAAGCAAGAAGAAGATGCCTCACGCGCCGGCTGAAGAAGAAGACGCGAAGGCGCTCAGGATGCACTCACGAAAGTTCAGACATTGCGGTGAAAATCAGAGGTAAAAAAACGAAATAAATATTGCTGTTTCTTGCACAGAAAGATCGTTTTGTGTCTTTACACATCAATGTATCGTCACGAGCCGCAGGGTTTAATTTGGTTTTGTTTGTGTATGTTTTTTTGACTCTCAAAGCCGTGATTCCCATCCACTGACATTATAGGACTGACAGACTGCAACGGTTTGAGTTAAAAATCTTTGTGTTCTACTGAAGAAACAAAGTCACCTACATCTTGGATGGCCTGGGGGTAAGCAGATAAACATCAAGTTTTCATTTTTGGGTGAACTATCCCTTTAACTGTAGACCTGTGAAACTGTATAATGTCACAGGATGCTCATGCATCATAAGTCCACTAGAGAGAGACATTAACAAAATGGTTTTAAGATGAACTTTGTTTTCTAGTGACATGTGGGCAGTAAACAGCCATCAAGAGTGGAAGTCCATCTTGACCTGTTATTCACCTCTTAAACACATACATAATAGAAATACTGTTAATGCACAAATCAATGCAACAGCGCAAGTATAATGCAGATATATAATTCCTCTTTATTTTCTGAATTTGAAGATTTTCTTATCATGTGGCTTTTCAAACTTCAAGGCTTAATGCACTAGAGCCTAATCTTTTTGCACCAATAGGATATAAATGAATGTTTTTATATTGTAGATATACATGCTTATGTAAAAAAAAAAAAAAAGACTGTTTGTTACCAATGGTAGGTTTAATTTGCACTGCTTTCCTAGTTATTGGGGAACACTGAATAAATGTTCCTGAAAGTTGTCATTTTGATTGGTTCAGATATTACAGGTTGCTTCCTTCATCATAGGACCTTAAACCTTTTCCACCTGTTAGTTTGAATGGCAGATTTTGTAATACACGCATATAAATTTGAACATGAATTGCCCACAAGTTGGCTTGTCGCCATTACCTGCAAAAGATATTGCAAACATTGCCACTGAGTATTCATATGGTGTGAATAATCCATGTATTTGTGTAAGAATTTTATTTGTCCAACTTGCTTTATCACTTATGTCCTTAAACATGCCTGATTGTTTTCAATTATTGCATTCTTGAGATTAGCGTCTCTGATATGTGCATTGATTGTAAATGTATTACAGTAGCAAATGAAGTGATTACAGCTCACAAAAATAAATGTTTATTTAAAGTTGCAGTGCGTACATTTTTTTTGGTTAAAAATTATCCAAAATCAATATTTGAGCAAGTACATAACCAGCCAGTGTTCTAAACTATCGCCTTCCTTTAGCCCAATTCACAACGGTTAGCTTATAATAATGTTTTCTAATTTGAGTGGTACAGGTAGGTTTTCGCAGGAAATTTGAGCATGGCACTGCGTCATTACGTCACGTCTGTAAACATAAAGAAGTTGTCCCAGCTACTAGGCTATCGCATGTGAGGATCCTGCAGGTGGCGGATCGTTTATAGCCTTTTCTCACCGCAGCCAGAATAATTAAATGTATCATTTTAATGGCGGATTGTAATATAAAGGATTATGTGTTTATGAAACACATGTGAATGAAATTAAATTATATTCCAGTTATAAATGTGCTTCTGATTACAGATAACCTGAGATTACAAAGATTTGTATTTTAAAGAAAACCAGTTCGAAGGGAGCATAATTTGCTTTTTGGGTTAAAATAATTTCTTACCGTTTTTCTGAATTGCTAAAACACATTTCTTGAAACCACCACTCATTTTCTCAAAACCTTAAACACAAATCCGAATACTCAAACTAAATTCACGAAACCTCTGACTCTTCCATCAAAATCAAACAATCACTGCAAAACCATTTCACTTGCACTCAAAATCAAACCGTGCTCTCAGATCACACACACACACACACACACGTCAATAAAACAAACACTACAGAGCATTCATTAGACACTACAGAGAAAAATGGAGAACACAGCATCCAGAACATTACAGAAAAAAGTATATCGTATTGAGTAATCAATTTTGCAATTCTGTAAAAAAAAAGTATAATCGCAACTAAGAATATATTGTATAGGCCTACATGTACTGCAAGAATAATATTGTGCTGAATATTGAATAGTACTGAATGTATATATTCAGCACATGGATACTGCAAAAATACTGCAGTCCAACTGCAAAGGCCAAAAAGGTCAAATAAAACTCTAAATGAATAGTATGTTATCTCAAAATCAAACCGTGCTCTCAGATCACACACACACACACACACACGTCAATAAAACAAACACTACAGAGCATTCATTAGACACTACAGAGAAAAATGGAGAACACAGCATCCAGAACATTACAGAAAAAAGTATATCGTATTGAGTAATCAATTTTGCAATTCTGTAAAAAAAAGTATAATCGCAACTAAGAATATATTGTATAGGCCTACATGTACTGCAAGAATAATATTGTGCTGAATATTGAATAGTACTGAATGTATATATTCAGCACATGGATACTGCAAAAATACTGCAGTCCAACTGCAAAGGCCAAAAAGGTCAAATAAAACTCTAAATGAATAGTGTTACTTACAGTACACTCAAATACTGTAAGTTGTGGAATTGTAAAACCAGGGTCAATGAGCGATTCATTCAGTCTCAGCATCATGTCTTTGTGCTTGAGTCCGGCCTGAAGACTTTGTCCACATCACAAGTAATGTAGTCTTTTTTGCTAGACAAAGAGAAAAAACCCTCTGGTCTGACAGATCCAGCATGAGATTTGCAAATAGAGCCTAACTGCCTGAACGTGTTTAAGGTTTAGCAGAAAGAGTGCTTTATTCGACAAATTGGTTTAAGTGAGAATTTGGTTCAGAGATTGGGGTTTAGTGTTTTAGCATTTCAGAAAAACTGCAATATGAAATTCGAAGAGTATGACAATTAGATTAGACTGTGCAGAAATGTAAATCTACATGCTAATAATACACACTATACTCAGTCACCAATGCTGATGTTGTTAACATTAATCATTTGAGAATAAAGTATAAGAATAATAATAATTTGAACGGTTTGATGTGATATGAGCTAACCGATCTTTAGATTTAATCACCATTGGTAGCGAGCTTGATGGTAATGCTTTTTTCCTCAGTTGGTCAGAACAAACGTGGCAGACTTGTTACTTGTTCTGATGGCAATATACGGTGAAAATTCTTATTTGGGTCATATTCCAAGACGTAGGCTAGAATCTGTGATTGCGAAGTACAGTAAATATCCACACCGGTGCGGTGACCGACTGCTACACATACTCTTCAGAACATTAGATTCATCCGCACTGGAGCCGTGCCGACTCACAACCCACGCAAGCTAGATAATTCCACACACAGCTGCAATTCCAGGTTTTCAAACAGAGATGGCGACAAAGAGGCAAAACTTACGGACTGCAGCTTTAACTTTATATGGCCCACTCACCACCATAAAAGAATTTGATGTCACATCCCTCTGTGATTTTACGTCTTAATGTAGCTAGATAGCAAATGTTAATATGGTCGTAACCTGTGTGATAAAGCTGGAAAAAAAATTTGATAGATGATTCTGGAAAAATACAGGCATTAGGGCAATCAAAACTGCATGCATGAATCAACTGTAAAAATAAATCCCATGTTTATTGCATTAAAAATACTGCATATTTTAAATACACTTCCTCAGTGCTTTGATCGATCCTCCAATCAGCCAGCTTTGTCCCTGCAGCAGCGTTTACAATCACAATCTGAAGTCTCTTGATACTGATATAAGACATTACTTTACAGTAAAGACTTTACAGAGAACATGCGTGTTTGTGTCCAATGCTAATGTCTGTACTGAGACCAGCTGATGTTAAATGGAATGTAATACACCAGACAGAATTTACGGAGAATTTTCAGCTCTAGAAACAGAGTTCTGAAATTCAGTTTTGGTGCGATTGTATTATAACAATCATTGAGGAGATGTTGTGTGGCAAAGTAATTAGGCACCAAAGAGATTCTGTAGGAAAAGTTCAGGTCATCTACAGGCAGGCAAATTGAGCATGCATACAGCATCTCAGAGAAAGAAATCAGGACTCCTCAAGGCATCATCTTGTCATATCCTATTTCCATGCGTTGAACAAAGCATCTGAATCACAAAAGGAACTTTATATCAACGTTTAAAAGTTCTTATTTGTTGTCCACTCTTAAAAAGTTTTTCAGAATTATAACATCCTTTCGTCTTTATTGGAGTCTGTAATTTCACCGATGGCCCAGTAAGCCTCAAGATGAGTTGTAAGCTGAAGTTCTGATCCAGATGCAGAGCAACAGAGGTCTGTACAGGAGTTAATGTACACCCTGCAGAATCAAGTCCTCACTCATGGTCAGTGCAAATAGAATTGTGCAAGTTTACATCACGTAGTGTCCCACAGTGGGTCCAAATTGCAAAAATGTTTCGTTTCCCATTAAAAATAAGAAGCCATAAAAGTCCTTAAAATACATTTACATGAGAAGGAAAACTGCATGAGTCAGAGTATAGATCTTAATTTTTATATATATATATATATATAGGGTATATGCTATATACCCTAAATATTCAGAATATATGATCTAAAAACAAGTCTAAATATGTTGTGCAGTTTTTCTTCTCAAATTTATCTTGTTTTAAGGGGACAGATTTTTTACTATTAAACAAAACAAAATACTGAAAAAAACTGTAGTCCAGAAATTTACAGTTTCCTTCCTGACTATATTTGGTGAGGAGCGTGGGGTTTCCTAGGGTATTGCTGTCTCCGTAAAGGCGGACGAGGAGCAGGTCTGTACATAGAAATAAGATTTTTTTATCAGGTTACACTTTTTCCATAAACAATATTTTATTCACTTGCTTGTTGCATAATATTGCGGGGGGGGGGGAAAGCATCAGTCCTTTCACCTGGCAGGAGCAGCAGCTGACGCAGGGTTACGCGAGTAAGATGATGAAGATGCGGCAGGTCCTGGATGTCCCAGCAGTGGGGGTGGAAGAGGGTGGGATGAAGGATCCACAGGCAGTGGTTTCTTGGGAACAGGAGGTTTGGGGGGAACGGGGTTCTGAAACAGGATGAAGTGATTCAGAAGTGTCAGTTTTTTTTTTTTTTGACAAACTTTTTTTATCTTACAAGTTTAATTTGCAATACATTGTAGTTCAAAATAAAAGCAAAAGGATTGCACTGAGAGAAATAGATACTCTCAGATGTATCAGAACAAGAGCTGATTAGTGTTGTTAATAGAGGGTTACACTTTACACGCCTGTGGCAATACCTGTCGTGTAGAGAGGACAGGGTCAGGAGGGAGAGGCTTGCTTGGTGCAGCCGGTCGTGCTCCTGTGGGCTGGACGTACAGTTGCAGATGCAGCCATGTGACAGAGAAAAGCAAGCGCTGGGTGAGACGCTTACTGTGCCATTTTACTCCAAACCCCTGGGAATCACTCTATTCCACCATGATTTCCCCTTGATCATAAAATTAATTTTTCTGAGACCAGACTGCATCATAGGCCATGCACTGCACAATTGATTCCTCTTATTCATCCATGCAAGAGGCTGGTCAAATAACCCTGTTTTACCTTGCAGAGAGACTGGGAGAGATAAAAAACATGCAAAATATGCACACTGTTGCTTTGATATCACCTACTCTCACATAATGATTAGTACACAAAGTATTTCTGCATAACACATAATAGTTTTTACAAACCAGTTATTATTAATAGTGATGTTCTCCACCCCTTTAACAGGTCAAATTTTATTGTGGAAAGTGATAATACGTCTAGTGGTTAAATGAGCACAAATGTTGTCTTTTTTATTTCTTTGATGTTCAACGTTTCAATTAAGCTTCACACAAAGTGACAAAGTGTTTAAAATACACATGAATAACTGAAGTCATGAAGTCACTGCTTCTAGTGTTGGTGTACACATAGGCAATCACTTTTTTATACAAGAGTTTTTAAATGTTTACATTTTTAAATCTTTGTTTATATATTTTAAACGTATTAAATAATTATTTTAATGAAATTTAAATGTAATTTTAAAATGTATTGTAAATTTTTTTTTATTTTATTAATTAAATTTTGTACTAAATTAAATACTTTTTTTTTACTAATATTTTATTTAAATGTATTCAATCATTTAATTTAATTTCCATCCATCCTTTTCCCAAACCAGGGTTGTGAGTTAATTATATTTTTGCTCTTTCATACATTAATAAAAATCACTACATGTGATTGCATATGTTGTCTGCTAATGAATATTGGTTTACTAATCTAATTAAACATAAGCATTCAAGGAAACTGAACTTAACCTATAACTGGAAGTGCACATTATGATGAATTAGATGTCGATAAAGCTTTTTATATAAGGCGATATTATCGAAAATATTCCAGATTACATATGACCTCTTGCTCTCCCCCAGTCTGATCTCACAGGGCACTGGGATCTCAACACACTCCATTCACTCCAGAGAACCATCAGTCCATCCACATGCACCAAACCACCATCATCATCATCTAACTGTTAAACCCAATTGACGGGGACCCAAGCACACCTCCACATGCAAAACCACACAGAAACACGGACCACAACTAGGAACACAGAGGGAGTTTCAAAAGGTAGAAACTTTGGGCCAAGACAAAATAACCAGTGTTGGGGAAAGTTACTTGTAAAAGTAATGCATTACAATATTGCGTTACTCCATAAAAAAGTAACTAATTACGTTACTTAGTTACTTTTTATGGAAAGCAATGCGTCACGTTACTTTTGAGTTACTTTTTAAATCTGGACAGGGCTTGCTTGTTTGTTTTTAAAATAAAAAAAGTTATATTTTTGGCAAATATAAAAGCCTTTTCACACCAAAAGTGAAATGAATAAGCCTCAGGCTGAAGGGAAAGTAAATTTATGTCCGTACAGTAGAATGCAGAAGAAGATTTCAACACACTTCAGCAATAAAAAAAAGACACAAATGTTTGTCTAGAGTAATTTTTGCTTATTAGTACGGTTGAACTGGATCATCGAAGGTCAGAAGCAAAAACATTGGTTAACAGAATGTGATTAAATACATAAAGGATATTTGTGTTGTTTAACATTTAATTATTGCAGGTTTGCGTCATATTCTGAGTTGCATTATTTTTATTCATTTTGAGGAATACGGAATCTGTTTTTTTTTTTGTTAGTGAGATGAATTAATGCATATTCATATTTATTTTAGAACTACAGTAACATCTTCTGATTTCTCTCAACACGGGGACAAGAGAGCTGTCAATCAATAAATTGAAGGAAAAAAAAGTAACTTGCGTTACTTATTTGAAAAAGTAACTCAGATATTCTCTTGTAAATTAAAAAGTAATGCGTTACTTTACTAGTTACTTGAAAAAAACGAATCTGATTACGTAACTCGCGTTACTTGTAATGCGTTACCCCCAACACTGAAAACAGACACAGTCAAACATGGCAGCTAGCAGCAAATGCTCCCTCTACCTTGCACTGCATCTTGCTCTCTGAGGGGATGGGGTCAGGAGGTAGGGGTTTGGTGGGAGGGGCGGGCCAATGCCCTGCCAACTGAAGAACCAAAAAGAGCAATAAAAACGGTATTGTATGTGGTTGACACACACCGCTACGTCTACCAGAACACCTCTAAATACATCTCTGTTCCTCACAAGCTTTGTGAGCAGCAATATGACATTTACCTGAGCGGGTTTAATGACAGGATCAGGTGGAAGAGGTTTAGTTGGAGCAGCAGGCCTGTTTTGGACCTAACAATAAGACAAAAGTGTTGCGAAGGGGGTAGTAGAGAAGCAGTGCATGCATGTTACAATAAGGAAAGTTATCTGTTTTAAGCAAGGCAGTAAGCCAAGAATAATTGGCTGACATTGTTATGACAGCAGCACAAGGAGACTCTGTCAGACATTTTTGAAATATGTGTTGAAACAATAATTCATGCGGGAAAGATTCGACAGAGGAGCAATGTACTTGTTACATACAGAGAACAAAGCATTTGGCCTCTAATTTTACTGCATCTAGCACATTTTTTGTCATTTTTCTGTGGATCGATGATAGAGTCAACCAGACCAATTTTGTTATCCAGGTGAAAGGGCAGGACTATGATTATAACCCAAACAATGTGTATCAGCCTCAGTAGCTTTAATTTACCTTTCAACAGACATCTACCACCAGGATTTTGCCTCAGTCCTAGTTACTGATAAAGAAAATAAATAATCTACCACAAAGAACTACACGATACATTCTAGGGTTGGATCGTTACCAGAATGTTCGCTTTGATACGATACCAGATTCTGTTATCTCAGTATTGATATTATATCTGTACCTTTGGCAACAATTAAACAGCCTAGTGAAACTGATGAAATGAGACTAGGGCTGTCAATAGATTCATATATAAAATATGATTAAAAATTTTTACTTATTTTACTAGTTTATTGGTCAAATATTTTGTAGTTTAGTTCCTTTTTGAAGAATTTGTTTTTGGGTTCATTCATTTATTTGCTATTATTTCCTTTTTTGTAATAGATAAATGACAGAATTCAAACTACTGTTCAAAAGTTTGGGGTCAGTAAGATTTTTTTCAAATAAATGATTACATTTATTCAGTGATTATCAAAATTGATCAAAAGTGGCAGTAAAGACTTTTAAAATGTTACAAAGATTTCTTTTTTTAAATAATCTTGCTCTCTGAGGGGATGGGGTCAGGAGGTAGGGGTTTGGTGGGAGGGGCGGGCCAATGCCCTGCCAACTGAAGAACCAAAAAGAGCAATAAAAACGGTATTGTATGTGGTTGACACACACCGCTACGTCTACCAGAACACCTCTAAATACATCTCTGTTCCTCACAAGCTTTGTGAGCAGCAATATGACATTTACCTGAGCGGGTTTAATGACAGGATCAGGTGGAAGAGGTTTAGTTGGAGCAGCAGGCCTGTTTTGGACCTAACAATAAGACAAAAGTGTTGCGAAGGGGGTAGTAGAGAAGCAGTGCATGCATGTTACAATAAGGAAAGTTATCTGTTTTAAGCAAGGCAGTAAGCCAAGAATAATTGGCTGACATTGTTATGACAGCAGCACAAGGAGACTCTGTCAGACATTTTTGAAATATGTGTTGAAACAATAATTCATGCGGGAAAGATTCGACAGAGGAGCAATGTACTTGTTACATACAGAGAACAAAGCATTTGGCCTCTAATTTTACTGCATCTAGCACATTTTTTGTCATTTTTCTGTGGATCGATGATAGAGTCAACCAGACCAATTTTGTTATCCAGGTGAAAGGGCAGGACTATGATTATAACCCAAACAATGTGTATCAGCCTCAGTAGCTTTAATTTACCTTTCAACAGACATCTACCACCAGGATTTTGCCTCAGTCCTAGTTACTGATAAAGAAAATAAATAATCTACCACAAAGAACTACACGATACATTCTAGGGTTGGATCGTTACCAGAATGTTCGCTTTGATACGATACCAGATTCTGTTATCTCAGTATTGATATTATATCTGTACCTTTGGCAACAATTAAACAGCCTAGTGAAACTGATGAAATGAGACTAGGGCTGTCAATAGATTCATATATAAAATATGATTAAAAATTTTTACTTATTTTACTAGTTTATTGGTCAAATATTTTGTAGTTTAGTTCCTTTTTGAAGAATTTGTTTTTGGGTTCATTCATTTATTTGCTATTATTTCCTTTTTTGTAATAGATAAATGACAGAATTCAAACTACTGTTCAAAAGTTTGGGGTCAGTAAGATTTTTTTCAAATAAATGATTACATTTATTCAGTGATTATCAAAATTGATCAAAAGTGGCAGTAAAGACTTTTAAAATGTTACAAAAGATTTCTTTTTTAAATCAATGCTGTTATTTTCAACTTTTAAGTCAAGTTTTATGCAGCTGTTTTCAACACTGATAATAATAAGACCTGATTATTGTAACAAAACTATAAATACAATTTCACTATAGTACCATTTTTAGATCAAATAAAAGCAAACTTTGTGAGCCTAAGACACTTCTTTCAAAAACAAGAAAGAAACTGGACATGGTGACCTCCCTGTGAGCTCATTTCTGTATTTCTGTGCAGACTCGACACTGTGTCGATAACCCGACACTGCATTCTAGAAGATCATGCTCCAGTAATAGCATCACTGAATGGGCCAGATGCTCAGGAGCAGCAGTGTATTTCTGTAGAGCAGATTTACTGTACCTTGCTGATAGCCTGGGTGAGAGGGATGTCGCTCTGTTGGGGCCACTGATACCTGAGCGGTTGCACCTGATCTCCATTTCGAGCATTTGCAAGCTCCACAGCAGGAGTCCTGCGGGTAAATGACAATTTCTTCACAATATTGCACTCAAACTAATCTTACATGTTGATGAGAATTATTTGTTGCTGGTCAATGTTACATACATTTATACCAATACTATCACAGGGAATTCAATGTTTCAGAACAACAGGCATCTCATTATCTAAATCTACTTCACATACACAAGTGTAATAGGGAACTGGAAAACTGTGTGAAAAAGACATCTAGCAAGGAGACACTTAATATTTAAGACTAAATAAACATTTTTCTTATCCAACCAGACCTCTGGTGTTTTAAAGAAATTTAAGAAACTCTGACGTATGCTGGAAGTTCTACAATGCACATAACTAGAGAGGAGCTTGTCAATGACAGCCAATGCTAAGCCAATTTTTATGATTTACATTTTTATTTCATTGTCATTCAAAGCACCTGCTGGTAAGAGACAAATGTTCAGCTACAGAAGTATAGTGACTGCTACAACTATGGCTTGTTTTGCACCACAAACTGAAGCTCCACATTCCCAGATACCTCCGGTTTTCCTCTTTCACACAGTATTCAATATAGGCCACTGAGACCCCACTGCACCATGGGTAAAACACAGTAAAATAATATAATTAATGATTTATAATATGATCTGTGATGAAGGATCTTATCTTTTATCTAACATTAACACCTAAGGTTGTAATTTCTCTCTGGCTGTTGTATTTTCATGATGTGTGTTTTTTTTACAGTATGTTTGTTCTCTACCATGCTGACTTAAGTGAGATTATTTAATTGCAATGGTGGCCTGATCATCTAGTTTAAAACACATGTGCCAAACTTTTAGAAATGTACTTTTTTATTCATGTCTGTTTAATTTATTTATTTATTTTTACTTTTATACCATTTTCAAGAAACGTTTCAATTTAATGTGGTGTAACCATCAAGTAAAAAGTTAAATTGTCTTTGAATACAATTTCAAATATTAATAAGCAGTTTATTTATTAATTAAAATAATTTATGAATTATTTCTACATAATAAAAGATTATGCCAAACTACTAAATAAGGTTTTTCTTTTTCATTCTTTTTCCCTTTATTATGTTGTCAGGACTGTTGTCTCACCAGGACTTTTATGATTTATCTTTGCCCAAATTAATTTTAATTCAGAAATTAAAAACATGCTCATCATATTTTAAGTCATTGCAAACTTAAATTGCATTTTATTTGTATTTTTAAATAAATTATTTATTAAATCTCATGTTATTTGTCCCTCGATGAGTCATTGCTGCTTTAAGTAAAGTGAGATAAATTGCTTTAATAAAGTACGTCATCTCTTAACCCCTGTGTCATTGTGTCTTTTTCTCAGTCTTACCGGCTCTGTCGGCTCTTGTTGAAGGGGGTGTGGCCGAGGTACACAAGGCCTCGTCGACAGCGGGGGAAACGGAGTGCGACAAACAGAAGTGAGACCGGTAACACAAACAGGAAAATGACCAGCAGAGCCACCTGCGCAGGATCTGAATCTGTATACAGACAAAACCAGGCTAAACACTACCACGCCAGTGTAATCAATGTGATGATGCATCACTGAGCCAAAATTTCTAAAGTTACATGTGAATCAGTTTGTGTGTGGTACCTTTAGGCTCTCGTGCAGGGCCGCTGTCCACACTGCCTCCGGTTCCAGAGTATCTGCAGTCAGGAGCAGCCCAGCCTTCATCACAGTGACAGTTCTTATTACTGTTACACACCTACACAAACAAAGAAAACAGAGAAAAATACTTGAATTGCAAATCTTAATAATGTTCATAATAATAATGTTTATAATTCTCTGAAGTTGCAGTGTCCGCTCCATCCCTCCCCCCTCCTCACCCCATGGCCATTGCACTTCCTGCGGCATTCCTCAACCCCAAACATGGATACGTCCCGGCACTGTTGGTCTACACATGCCTGAGAATAGAATGTAACAATAAATTTAATAAATTTCAAGTACGTTTTTAAAAAGCACTTTTTTCTCCAGGACTATAAATAAATGTATATATAATTTTTAATATTGTAAAATATTACTCTTTAAAATAACTATTTTAATATATGTTAAAATATAATTTCCTCCTGTGATGGCAAATCTGAATTTTCAGCAGCCGTTACTTCATTCTTCAATGTCACATGATCCTTTAAAATGTATTCTAATATGCTGATTTGGTGCTCAAGAAACATTTCTTATTATTATCAATGTTGAAAACAGATGCTGCTTAATATTTTTGTGGAAACTATGTTTTAGGATTCTTTGATGGATAAAAAAAATTCCTAACCCAAACGGTAGTGTGTATCCACATTTTTCCTGCCACCATGATGCATTCTAACTTCCTTTTGGATGCTCTCGTGTTCCGGTCTCCATAAAAATCCATGTTAAAACAGGTTAAAAAGATTGACTTTTTCAATATGACTAAATATAAAAATGTGCACAGGGTTAAGCTGTTCTGTTGTTGGCTGCCACAGTAACAGCAAGGAATTCCTGTACAGTACTTGTTTTGCGCACCAGGAAATCTGTGTGTCCGCGCTGTATGCCTCGCATAAACGATGACAAGAGAAAATGAGCATGGAATGCAGCACTTAAGTTCAAATACTGTGTGAAATACAGTTAAAATAATGTGTCCTCTTATCATTTTGTGGACAAAATCCGGGAGCTGTATGTAGGATATGTGCGCTCATGTGTTTTCAGTGCAGCTAACCTCCAGCTGCTTCATGTCATCTACCCATTCATTAAAACAGGGGTCACCAAACTCGGTCCTCGAGGGCCGGTGTCCTGCAGAGTCCAGGTGCAACCCTAATCAAACACACCTGAACCAGCAAATCAAGGTCCTACTAGGAATACTAGAACCTTTCAGGCAGGTGTGTTGAGGCAAGTTGGAGCTAAACTCTGCAGGACACCGGCCCTTCAGGACTGAGTTTGGTGACCCCTGCATTAAAAGATGGCAGGTGAGTTACTGCAAAAAAGGGTCATTGCAACACTGTAAGGTGATGAATCTATGGCGCCATGTGATTTTTAAAACCATTTTCATAGGTTTAATGTTATATTATTAGCTCAGAAAATACGTTAATTTGACTAGAAACACCAGAGACCGGAAATGTAAAGCATTGTTCCAGTATGAGTCGGGCGAGACTTCCACATTCAGGAAAAAGGTGGATAATCATATAAAATATACCTACATTTAAATAAATAAAAAAATCTAATTTATATATACAGTAAAAATTAATAGCTACAATGGCTAGATGGTAGGAAAATCTCTAATGGAATTTACTAATGACTGCATGATTAATTACACTAAATGTACTGTAAAATTAACGTTTTTAATAATTAACAATCCGAAAAAGTACACATTTTATGGACACTCACCTTGTTGGGCCCACAGGCTGTCCCCTGTGATACCATGGCTGGGTCAGAAACATCATCACCCAGATTAAAATAGGCGCCCCGGCAGGTAAAGTCACTCTGGTTCAGTTTGACTGTTGTGGTCAGAATCTCAGCGTTGGAGCCCAGCAGAGGACGTTCATTTCCACCCTGACATTGGATCCTACCACAGTGCACATCTCTAAGCAAAACAGAGCACATTTAAAACAAAGATTACAATCATATTTCCATAAGATCAAATGTAACTGGATGTAAACAAAATTACAACACAGTTTTAGCACATTTTGTCGTAATTATGCTTCCACAGTATATGCAAATAAATCACAAAACAGGCAGTTGGATAATAAACATTTTAGGAAACGATCATGATTATGTGAGTGCTTGAAAATCATCAGATTCCAGGCTACATGTCCTCACCCTTTCAAACAGGGGATGTAGGAACCGTTGGACATCTGGCCACAGTTTCCGTACTTATTGCCCTGCTTATTCACAGAGGAAAAGCAGATAGGTGGAGCATGGGTGGAGTCTTAGAGGGGTGGAGAGAACAGAGAATCAACCATGATAAATCTAGACTCTAGGTGAGAATCCTTAGATTCATCATTGTGGAGCATGTGACACTCACTCTGTCCCCAGAGCATTTGGCACTGCTCGTCCAGACTGGCACACACGCCGCTGTAGCAGAAGGAGGACCCATCCTTGCATGACTCTCCGTTCTGCAGAAACGCATTAGGAGGACAGTAAGGCGAAGTGCCAGTGCAGTACTCTGGCAAATCGCACTCTCCCAACGGCTCCCGACACACCGACCCAGCCACACGCAGCTGCAGGGAAACAGATGGAGGAGATGCGGTGAGACAGCGCGGCATTAGCAGTGCATGTCTAAGTGTGTAATCATATGCACCTTTACAAACCTTGCAGTTCTCACAGCAGATGCCATCAGAAGAGCACTGGGCCCCACGAACCAGTTTACACGTGCTGGCATTGCAGCAAGGATCATTACATTCCTGAACACACACACAGACAGGAAGCAGATTACAGAGGTGAAGAGCGTATTACTACTTTTATTTGTTTTACAATCCTGTAGTCTGATATGTTCAGACAGAGAGTTTGCCATCAAATTCTTAATAGCCCTGATGATTGGGGGTGAGAATTGTTTGTAATCTTGCGATTCTCGATTTTTAATGGAATTTCCAACTACTACATTTTCTCATAGCAGATAAAAACTGCATTGTTGAGAGGGAAAAAAAATAGATAAGTCACATCTGTGTAAATTTTATTACATTCAGAAATAAATGTAAAATACTGCTTCATAAAATAATATGTTTACAAACATTATAAAAACTATATAACTATATAAAACTATATAACTACATCTTAGTTTGTTTCCCTCACTCCATAACAATCCTTTAAAGTCAACAGTATTTAGAACAGAACAGGAATTAAACATTTAAAACAAACTTAAATTATAGTACCATTATAAACAACATTTATTACAACCACAAATCTTAAGCAAATGTATTTAAAGTGAATGATGATAAAGAAAAATGTCACATATTCTCGGAGAATACAGTACTTTGTTTGTTCTGTCTTTTTTTCATTTCTGGATGGCGGTGTTCAACGTGAGTCTCAGTTTTTTTTTTAAATGTGCGCGTCAGTTTTGTCAGTAAACTCACTGCATAATAAATTCTGCGCAGCTCTCGCAGTTGACTTCCACCTTTTTTGTTCCGACAACATTACATTATTAAATAATATTTAGGAAATCAATTTTTGAAACTTGTACATCGTTTCAAATTGTTAGAAGATAGAATCACGATTCATACGTTAATACATTTTTACCCCACCTCTACTGATGATTTTTCATTTGTGTCTGTAATGTTTGCTGTCAGGAATAGTTCAACCCCCCAAAAAGAGAAGATTCTGTCATTTTTTACACATCTTCATGTTATTGCAAACCTGTATTTCTTTCTTTCCTCTGTAAAACAATAAAAATTCAATATGTGACCTGTGCTGGCAAAATGAGTCGCAATGAGCACATTTTCAAAAAGGAGTTATTTTTATGTTCACTATCTCCATTAAACAAAACCATTCAAAATGATGCATGATTTGCTGGAATTGACCAAAAAAAATGACTGAGCTACACCTGTTTGAAGCCGATAAAGTCAGCAAAGTCAATTTTGAGAAAAATCTAGTTAAAGTTTTCTGAAAGTTCCAAAGCAAAATCACCTAGCAACATTGCATCTTTTCTTCCACTTCTTTTCTTAATAATAACTATATTAATAATCACAATATAAAATTTTTTTGTTTTATCTTTACCAAATAGGCTAATCAAATGTAAAAATCCCTTTAGTGTGTTCATTACAAATAAACTGATTGTTAAAACTACAAAAGCAGTTAAATCAAGACAGCAGCGAGTGATTCTCTCTTTTCTTTTCTTTTTAGATAACATTAATGAGGCAGACGGCCTATACTATATTAAGACCTACTGTAATGCACAGATCTAATATCATGTTACAAATCAGATGTTTTTCCCCCACAGTTAACCAATACTCGCTAAGACCCATATTTTGAAATACTGTAATTCTGTGTATCGGGATCGCACGCTGTCTGAGAGATGCACTTTTATGTGCACACTTCGAGATGAGTCATTCAGCATGATCATTTTGTTTACATCAGCATGTGTTTGAACATCACATTTCACTGGTTCAGACTCATGCCCTCGAGAATTCGCTCTGAATATTCACAAATACCAAACTTGTGCTGAGGGGAAGCACCAGTTGTCAAGAAGCGATCAGAGAAAAAGGTAGACCTCTCAGAAAACATACATACACATAAAGATAATTTTAGATGTTTAATTACTATTTGGAGCATTGGGATCGCTAGACGAGGGCTTAATTAACTAATTTTTGTGAAAACCTCAAATTCGGCCATAATTGATCATTTTTCACTTTGTTTTGCCTGTAGCACAAAATTAACCTATGCACATTTCCACTTATTTTGCCAGCACGGGTCACATATATTTTGTTTCACATAAGAAAGCAAGTCACACAGGTTTGGAAAAACAGGTGAGCAAATGATGACAAATGAATTATCCAATTAAGAAGTTGTCACATTCACTTGAAATGTCATTTTTGTCAGGAACCAACAGGCAGAAGGCATTTTCTTACATCCAGCAGGCCGCAGTCACACTCCTCTCCTTTCTCTACATACAGGTTTCCGCAGCGCGGACCTCCCAGAAGACTCTCCGGCTGAGGCACGTTAAACAGACACATTCCACCACCGTGCAGTAGACTGAGAGAGAGATCCCGTTCACTGCAGCTGCTGAAGAGCTGACCAGGCATAAACCTGCACAAGGTAGCATTTACTGCATACCACACGATTTGTCACTAGCACAATATTATCAGATAGTCACAAACACTCACCCAGTGGAGGGCTCCATGATGCAGCCCCCAAGCCGAGGCTCGTTCTGGCACTGACAGCTCCTGTCGGCTGTATCGTGACTCATTCCCAGGTTGTGACCCAACTCGTGTGCCACCGTTGATGCTATACCTAACACACTCACCAGGTGATCCTACGGTACAGGAAACACAGGTTAATACTAAAACAAGACTTTTTAGTGCATAAAGACCAAGATTAAATGAAAGATTTCTCTCACCACATTCACTCCTCCTGACCGATCCTTTGAGCACATGGAGGACTGAGATGCCATGCCAACTGTTGTCCCATCAAATGATTCACCCCTAACACATAAAAGCAAATAATGATTTACCATAACTGTTCAAATCTGATCAACTGGTGCCTATATTTTTCACAATGCATCTGGTCCTACATGATGAGCTGTGCGTTGTCATGCCGTAGCCGTGCTAGAAGCTCCCTGATCCTCCAATCCAGGAAGCGGTTTAGAGTTTCAGTGGGATTTTTATCCACTTTAATTTTGTCCTGGTCACTCCAGATCTCCAAACCCACCAGAGCTACACGTACATTCAGTGGCCGGTAGAACTGGGACAGAGGGCCAGACAGAGATTTAGACAGAAACCTAGACTCACAATCTTACCGACCACAAAATTTTGATCAGTAGTGTACTTGCCCATTTAGAAATAAAACTTACCCAGTCTACTTGGTTTGCCACATCCAACATGCGGTAAATTATGGTTTTATTATTCTTCTGATAATTCAGATACTGTGAGGAAGAAACAGAAAAAGAACGGATTCAAAACTGAAACCATAAATATTCAGATATATAGACTGTAAAGCAATTAAGAGTAGATGTGATGCAGTACATGTACCAGTAGAGGGCGTAAGTGTCTCACAGCTCTGTGTGTGTGTGTGTGTACTGTAGGTGTGAGAGTCAGAGATGGAAATACCTCTACTCTCTTACCTCTTTATGATCAGCCACCAGCACCAGCTCAATATATTTGGTCTCTGAGAGAATGTCTCTCTTACTCTGTCACATAACAGCAGAAAAAAATCATGAGAAAAAACAAACAAATACACATACCTATAAATACACTATGCACAGACAGCATGCTCACCCTGTGTGTGTGTGGGATGATCTGAATGGGAGGAATAGAGGTATGTGACACTCCACAGTCTCTAGACTCCGATGTTTGTGAATCTGTAGGGTAGATCACGTGCATCCATCCTTCTTCCATTTCTCCGCTCCCTTCCTCTTCTTTATCATGCTTTTCTTCCTCAGGATGCAGCTCAAAGCTCAGTGTGGCGTTAATGACTATCACTCCCCTGCAGAGAGAAAAAGAAGTGTCATTACTGACACCTTAACTAACACAGACTGAACATCATGTTAACACATAGCACTCATTGATAATCTGTTAAGAAATACAGACTCCTTTCTCATATTTCACTAGTGTTAATTTTGTCAGCCATTTTAATTTAGTCTTAGTCTTTTAAATTAGTCTTAGTCCTATTTCATACTTGTCCTACTTTTTAGTTTTTATCATATTTATTCAACCTTATTCAAACCTGTTTTTGTTTAGTCAAGTTTTAGTCAAGTGTCATTACTGACACCTTAACTAACACAGACTGAACATCATGTTAACACATAGCACTCATTGATAATCTGTTAAGAAATACAGACTCCTTTCTCATATTTCACTAGTGTTAATTTTGTCAGCCATTTTAATTTAGTCTTAGTCTTTTAAATTAGTCTTAGTCCTATTTCATACTTAGTCCTACTTTTTAGTTTTTATCATATTTATTCAACCTTGTCCTGTTTTTGTTTAAATGATTAAATGTCCGAGCATTTTAGTCTAGTTTTAGTCAATGAAATCTTAGTCACATTTTTTGTCATGCTGGGGGTGGTTAAACTGATCAAAATAAATTTCTCAAAATTATAATCGTAATGATTGCTTTAAATGTATTTTTGCATTTCAGGTATTGCACTTTCACCAATAAGCACAATTAATAGAATGTCTACTCATACACATGGTTTATTTTACCTCACCTATTGTATTAATTTATTATAGGATATTTATTATATAAATTAATATCAAAGACTTATGCACTCTCTCTTTCTACATTATGTAAATAAAATAAAAAACACACACACACACATAAATCTAAACAGTCAAAAATAGACAGGATATTGGGTCCTCAGAACCAAAGGCCAGTGGCTTCTGAGAATTTTTCTATAAAAATAAAAAAATCAGTTGAGCCCAATTAGATATGAATATTAAAAGATAAGATCAGATGATTTATCAAGGTATTATTATTATTATTTTTTACATTTAGATAAATATGTAAGGCAGAAGGCCATGTGACAGAAAATATACTGTATGGGGTTCAGAATTTTCCTCTTGAAGTCTGGACCATTTTTATATTTTGCTTAAAACAAACAATCAAAACACTCATCATGCGCAGAAAACAAAGTTAACTAGTCATTTCAAAGTTTATTTTGTCTTTCCTTGCCATCTACAAATAATTTCCCCAATTTTAACTATCATATGTTTATTTTAAAATGCATTTAACATACTGATTAATAATGCTAAATGCAGATGAAAAAAAAGTCTTGTCACAAACCTGGTTTGAACAGTCAGAATCATTTGATAGGTAAAAATATATTACGTTTTCTGCAGTGTTTTAGCAAAAGTATCAATCTATTTTGCTGCTCACTGTGTTTCTGCTTCTATTTTTAAAATAACCACGTCATCTGTAGCTCTTAATGGTGCTTTAGCATCTTTATAGAGAAGCAACGCACACAGGAAGGGCTTGAATGAAACCCGTTTGGGTCTAGATAAAGAAAAATATTAAAGGATATAACGCTGAAAGATCATTACAATAAACGACCCTGAGTGCTTGTGGTGTGAACCGCTCCGTTGTTTTAAAGTGCTGCTCACTTAAAGGGGTCATATGATGCTGCTAAAAAGAACATTATTTGGTGTATTTGGTGTAATGCAATGTGTTTATGCAGTTTAAGGTTCAAAAAACTTTGGTGGAAATATTTTCCACATACTGTACATTATTGTTTCTCCTCTATGCCCCGCCTTTCTGAAACGCGTCGATTTTTACAAAGCTCATCGGTCTGAAAAGCGAGGTGTGCTCTGATTGGCCAGCTATCCAGTGCGTTGTGATTGGCCGAATACCTCAAGCGTGTGACAGAAATGTAACTTACGCCCCTTAACATACTGTGATGCCGTGTGTGCGACGAGCGCCTGTGCGCCGGTGATGTGCGTGCACCTGTGATGCGCGACGAGACAAAACCAGTAAAACCCATTATAAACGAGGCATTTGTTGCATCCAGTGGGGACATAATTACTGATTATAATGACTTATACGGTCTTTTTACACGTTGCGTTGCGTATCGCGCCGCGTAAATATAAAACCATGTCTGCATTTGTGATCGGAGAAACGACAAACAACAAGCACTACTCTACACTGCTCAAAACATGCATTTGAATCATCAGTGGCAAATTCTTTAAATATAAAAACTTACTTACAGTCTGTGAGTCATGAAGCACCAGACTGTATGCCAGACAAAATGCCAGACAAAATGCGCTGCACACATCGGAATATTTGGGTTGAAATGTTCTGGAACAGTGTTGTAAATACAACTTAACCACTGATTTCTAGTTGTGTCCTCCTTTGGAAGGCCAAACAAAGTAGTTTCGCTTTCACAACGAAACACACAGCGTCTCCACAACATGGCAGCAGCGGCAACAATACTGCAGCCTTCTTTCTTTGCGTGAACATTTGGGCAGCGTTATGCAAATCTTCCCACATAGTGACATAGGTATGTGGGGGCGTGTTAGAACGAACCGTTTTAGGTAGGCGTGGTTGACTCTTAACTTTTATAAAGAATATCTCTTTGGATTTGAGACTTTAGTCTTTGCAACTTTACAGATCTTCTTTATGCACCAAGAGCTTGTAACACTCCAAAGAGAAAGGAAAAATTGAAATCGCATCATATGACCCCTTTAAGTGAAGTCACTGTGACTGAAGTGCTGCTGTTGCCATTTTGTCTCACGGTCCGATTGGAACCAAGCCAAGGTCTGGACCTGGACCGAATATGCCTGCACTACACGATTATTGCCCCGATTTTCCGTCCGTTTTACAGTCTGGAGAAGTTGACGCTAGTTGGCGAAAGTCAGAGCCAGTCTGCAGATTTGAGTTCACAGATTCCATAGAAAATCACATATAGTGTATGATGGTCACAGGCTCTGATTTTGTAGCTTCAGATTTGATTCAACTGACTTTAAATGGAAAGGTTACATTTATTCTCTCTATTTTTCTGAAAGTCCAAGCGAGCTAGTCGAAACTCTCTCTTTCTTTACAGGCAATCCTGAATTTGTAGATGTGAAGAACAAAACGTGATCATCACACAGTAACAAGCACACACTTAATCTGATGAAATGCTAATGCCACATTAAAGTGAAGATGAAACATTACTGAGCAGAGAAGAATAAACAATAAAAAAATAAATAAATCATGAGAAGTGATAGTAAAATTGGAGCCAGTTTGGAAACTTTGCTGAAACCACATTTTTAGGAGACTTCCAAGCATGTAGTAGGTGAAGGTCAAGTTCACTCTCGAGAAAGAACTGGACATAACCCAAATAGGCTGAGTAAAAATATTGATTTTGTGAATATTCATGAATAGATTCATATAGATTTTTTATTCTATGGTAGTATTCCTGTACTGCTTTTCAGCGGTAATGCACCCTACTAAATCTACAGCCCCGGCAAGAGTCACATTTTAACCCAAGTTTCACCTAAAATAAAGGTAGAAAACTTCCATATTGTCCACGTGGCTGTGTGCAACATAGAGTGTTGACCCACAGTCCAAATTAAAAACAAATGACTTTTATAAGCAGGTTCATTTTATTGAATCAAAAACATACAGAGCAACCACGTTACCCAATTCACGAACAAATGACTTGTTTGAGTTGGCCTTTTTAATGAATCAATTAAAATCGCTCACAAACTCATTTTATTAAAAAGCAATTGAACTAGATTCAGTTTAGTCTTGTAATTCTTTTTATTTTAGATTGCAATGTACCAAGTTAAAGAGTTCTATACTAATTTATAGTAATAACTGAGAATTTCTTTCATATGTAAGCAAAATATTACACATTATAGACTGAAATAAACAAAAGACTCAGAATCCAATTCAATCGTGAATTTGTGAATTGAGAGTTGTGAATCTGAATTCAATTCAGGACATCAGCACATGTGTATTGATAGCCGGTCCTAATCCCAATATTTATGTTTCTTTTTTAAATCTAACTTTATTTGTTATTATTACAGTAACCTTATTACATTGATGTTAACTACACTCTTAAAAATAAAGGTGCTTCACAATGCCATAGAAGAACCTTTTTGTCTAAATGGTTCCATAAAGAACCTTTAACATCTGAAGAACCTTTCTGTTTCACTAAAGGTTCTTTGTGGCGAAAGAAGGTTCTTCAGATTATAAAAAGGTAAGAAAGAGATGGTTCTTTAAAGAACCTTTGACTGAATGGTTCTTTGTGGAACCAAAAATGGTTCTTCTATGGCATCGCTTGAAGAACCTTTTGAAGAACTTTTATTTTTAAGAGTGTAACATTAAATTGCTGTTGGCAAGTATTTAAAGGCTGCATCACCTACAACATTTTACAGCTTAAAACAATACATAAACAGCTGTTTGGTTAATGGTTACTGTCTGAATTACCAAGGTGATGTAAGCCGGAAAGGACAGCTGTTTCAGAGGCAAAACTTTTCCTTACATAACATGAATGCACAAAATAACCAGTAGTCTGAATTAGGAATGTAAATAGGGTCAGTTTTGATTTCATGTCTCAAGTACGAGACGGTTATGCTGAAATCCTGGATGGATGTCAGACCTCTTACTGCTCTCTCAGATCTCATCCAGTTTTTTGCGAAAGCTTTAAATGTTCTTAAAGATATTGTGGAGCTGCTGAAAAGGTTCATCAAAAGGTCACGAGACTGACATCCCAAGAGCATCACTCTCTAAACCACATCTGCTGTCATTTACCATGCTGAACAACACACCCACACAAACACTTTCTCCCAAGATCGAACCTCTGGGCTGTTCACAAAAACTGAAGCCCACATTCAACCATCAGATACTGCTCCAGCATTGTTCAGATTTCCTACAAAACCACAGGCATCTATTTGTAGGCTATACGTTTATTGCTATGGTTCTGGTGAGCGCCTTTCCTATGAACTCCTGGGAACAGACTGCAGTTCACTGGGAATGGGTGGATCGCTTGTCTCTGAACAACCAGGGCCTAGTCAAACTAGTGACTGAGGCAAAGATGAAAATGAGGGTTTGTATGCGTGTACTTTTCAGATAGACATCCCAAGCATATGTACTACACAGTGTGCCACCAATGAAACTGGAAGGTTTTCTTTTACTTTTGGTCTTTGTTTGTTCTCAAGCGTGTGAGACAAAGACACTCAGTAAAAGGAGGAGTTTGGAGGTGGAGGCAGAGCAGAGATCTTTATTCAGGCATCAATGCCCAAAACTCCAAACTTTTACAAAATGCCTGCCAATTCCATCCTCAGTGTCCCAGAGTCCATTCCTTCACACCCGACTAATTTTTCGCTTTCATTTCTTTGACTGTAAAACATTCCACAATCTTTCTTTTTATTTCCTTTGCCTTCTGCTCTGTCCTCTCTCTTTTTCTCCCCCTCTTTATAAGCCTCTCTTTTTTAGTCTGAGGTAATGTCCCTGAGCACACGCTGTATGCAGCGCGATGACCTCAGCAGCTGATGAATGCTGGGTGGGGTACTTTTACTGAGGGTAGCTGAGGGTGACGAAGAAAAAGAGCGTAAGAGAAGGGGAGGATGAGAACTGCACCAGAATGCATGGTTTGCCTGTGCCTTAACCATGGCCCATATGATACCTTCTTGGTTCATACAGTCGGATGTGGAGTATTTAAAGACATGTGGTTGAGTAAATGGGTGATTCATAAGTGTTGGTGATTCGCTAAAAAAAAGAACTGACTCATAAGTGTCACACTAGTATATTTTGATTTCCTTAAAGGGCTCACAAAAGTAATTCGCTCAAGAAATGTTTTTCACTGGTAGCAATGTATGTTTTGCAAAGTGCATGGAAACATCATCCGAGTGTCCCGTCCACGTGAATCTGGTACCTAACCCTAGTAGCCACTATATTTAATTGTGGTTGAAGTAAATAATAAAACTCCACATGTTAAACTCTATTAGGGTGCCATAAGAGATTTCTTATGGAATGACACTCAGAAAATATCCTTATTACATGACAGAACATTACATGTCTGTGCTCTGTAAATACATTTGTTTGGCCAATAAGAACGCTTTGAGGCACTGTGTGTCAATCATTTTGAAGGCTGCCCACAGAGTTCACCCAAAAATGAAAACTCTGTCATCATTAACTAACCCTCATGTTGTTTCAAACCTGCATTACATTCTTTCTTCTATTGTTTGCCATTGACATCCACTGTATGGACAAAAAAGACAAATAAAGCTTTAGAATGACATGAGGTTGAGTAAACGATGATCGAATTTTCATTTTTGGGTGAACTATCCCTTTAAGCTGTATAAGCAATTTTTAATTTTTAATTTGAGATGAACACTCTCTCTAATTGCCATATTAATATAATTTGTTCCAGTTAGTGGGTGGTGGATGGCTTGAGGACAACTGTTTATAATCAACAGATTCACTGATACACACACACCCAAGTCATCACCCGCCTTTCCTCTCCATGGCAAAACAGGCTAAAAACAGACCATAGTTGTCTGATTCAACCAGGCACAGAGGGGCTGCTTTACTGTGCATGACAAAATAAATGAGTCAGCGTGTAACCTAAGGAGCATTGCATATCGCACTGTTAAGAGAAGTGACAAAGAAAAGAAAAGAAAAATTAAGAGACAGTAAATGAGTAATTAAAGCTTAAGTGAGGGAGGTGGGTTTGGTGTCCGTATCTGTCCTGTCCTGGAGGTGTGTGTTGACATATTCAGCTGGAAACTTCCTGACATAAAGTATGATCAGAGAGGAGAGGAACTAGAGGCAACATTAAGGGGACGGACACTTCCTGTGCAGCTGAGAGCAACTCTGAAGTCATGTCCTGCTAAATTCCCCCATTGCACACACACACACTTTTATTCCTAGTTCCAGTAACGAGGAATGTTATCCACATAGGCATGAAATGTTAGTCAATTTAACATGCTGTTTTAATGATTCATTATTTCTGTTATTAGATGGTGCAAAAACTCACCTGTAAAACATCACTCAGGCTTCTCCTAAGTCCATCAACAACAGCAAACGGCCTTGTCTTCGCCAGAGGCAGTTCTCTTCTATGACTTGTGACTGTAGGAGATTTAGAAAAATTATATATATATATATATATAAGCATCTTCTGATATAATTTGTAACACATTTACAAAATAATATAAATATATATTTATGATGCCTAAAAAGTTTCTTGAGAATTTCTGTAGATTTATATATATATATATATATACACACATACATGTATAGACTAGGATAAATCCAAATAAATTATGGCTTCCTACTATGAACCACGTGGCATTTCAAATATCTTGTCACTGGAGAAATAGGTTCAAGGTCATTTTAAGGGATTTTTATCTCCGGTCTAGTGAGAGATGGTGCTCAATCAGGTGGGATTTGTGGTTCTATGGCAGTGGAGGAAGGACAAACAGAATTTTTACATTCAACACTATAAGTGCATTCATGCTTTGTTGCTGGAGTTAGAAACATGAGGGGCTCTTTCTCAGTGGTTTACAAATCAAGCAGAGTGAACTTTGCTAACGGGTTGATCTTCAGCAAAGATGTTCTGAGCTAATAATATCCTGACTATTCATCAGACGTCTGTGGAAAACCTTTTCAGAATAAGCACTGCGCGAATGAACCAGCACGTCATGATGTTCTGGGGTTTGACTATGACCTGATGACTAAATCTTGTGGGCCATAAACACATGCTCTTCATGCAAACCTTTTTTTCTTTGGATTTTGAGGGGAAAGTGTGGGCATGTGCTTCATCAGATTCACCCTGACATTCTCCTGTAATTTAAACATCCAGATTTGCATTTTTTGGTTGAATAGTGTTTGTTGAGCTCTTACCTCTTCGGTTGAAGTATTCTCTGGAGTATCGGCCTGACAGGGCAAAGTGTGGAGGAATGGGACCCAACAGCTCAATGACGTGAGCTATGTGATCTGGAAAACAATACAACACATTTCTGGACTAAGGAAACTCTTCCTTTAATGGTAATCATTGCATAATTTAAAGCCTATATATATATATGTTTCTGAAAGATATATATTAATGTTTCTGAAAGTCTCTTACACTCACCAAAGAGGTGTTCATTTGACCAAAAATACAGTAAAAACTAATAATGTGAAATATTTTTATAATTTAAAATCACTGCTTCTATTGTTATATTATGCTGAATTCATTTATCAAAATAAATAAATAAACGTTTTACTGATCCCAAACTTCTGAACGGCCAGCTCTGGGGAAAAAAGTATTTGAAAATGAGAAGAAAAAAAACTAAGGTACAAGTACTTAAATTATGTTAAGCAGCTGTCACTGTTTAGAAGTATAAAATAATCCCTTTGAAGTTTTTTATCATGCCAATAACTATATCCTGGGAGGAAGACCAAGAGAACTGACCTTCATCTCGAGTGTAGTCCTCTCCTGAGTGAGGCTCAAACAGATAGTCTCCAGTCACCAACTCAAACGCCTGTGAAGACATCATATTACTGCTCTCTCACATGACGCACAAGCAGGAAGCTCAAATCTACATATGAACATTCTGACCATTTTTTCAGTGTATTTATGGAAAAGAAGATGTTAGATCAACACTGAATGAGTTCGTACCATACACGCAGTGCTCCATATGTCAGCGGGGGGTCCGTACTCGGCTCCGATCAGC